TTCTGCACCGACTGAACGGCAGCATCTGAAAGGCTCTTTGTAGGCCCAGGACTACGAGGGTGGGGTCATCTCCATCCTGCCAGTGTGTCAGCCTTAAGAATATTAAATAACATATCTAGTCTTATTAGAACGTAGCATTTTCTTCTGCTTATTCCTTTTAAAAGTAATAGCATTACCCTATCCTGATAACATCTTAATTCCTCACTATTTCTCCACAGCAAGATTCCTAAAAAAGGCTTTGTGGAGGTAACCGAACTCACAGATGTAACATACACCAGTAACTTGGTACGCCTGAGGCCAGGCCACATGAACGTGGTCCTCATCCTGTCAAATTCCACCAAGACCAGCCTACTGCAGAAATTCGCTTTGGAAGTCTACACGTTCACTGGGTAAGCTCGCGCGTGCTTGCGTGTGTGTGTGTGTGTGTGTGTGTGAAAGAACATGCACATTTAGGTAAGGAGGGGACTGGAGGAAAATTACGTCCTTTCCTCTTTGCCCATGCAAGGTGTCGGCTGTGACCTTTCCAATCCAGAAATCTAAGCCACCATGAGGGGACCTTTTCTCCCCCTTGACTTCCTGTTCTCTTGGTTCTGAACAGAAGAGCTTAACTCAGTCTTCTTCCCTGAGCCCTTTCAGGAAACTGACTATCTTTAGCTCTTGTGTATTTTCCTGAAGTCAGACTCTAAGAGTGACAAAAGTGACACCCAGCAAGGGATGGGGAAATGGGTAAGTGAAGGGTTGCAGCTGTTGTGGAAGCCCTCGGCTCCCACAGAAATCCTTCATTTTTTCTGTAGTCGGGCCCCATCCAACACAAAGCCTTTTCCTATTATGTGAAGTTTGGCTGAGGTATTTATGTTCCCTGCAATTAAATGTTCGGAAATACCCTCAATCCTCATTCTGTTCTTCCTCCAGGAGCAGCTGCCTACACTTCTCCTTCCTGAGTCTAGATAAACACAGAGAATGGCTAGAATACTTATTAGAATTTGCTCAAGATGCAGCCCCGATTCCAAACCAGTATGATAAACATTTCATGGAACGTGACTACACTGGTTATGTACTGGCTCTGAACGGCCACAAGAAATACTTCTGCCTCTTCAAGCCCCAAAAAACAGTCGAAGAGGAGGAAGCCATGGGGTCATGCAGTGATCTTGACTCTTCCCTCCATCTGGGTGAATCTCGAGGGAAATCTTCCTGTGGCCTTGGATCCAAGCCCATCAAAGGAAAATTGAGCAAGTTGTCCTTATGGATGGAACGCCTGTTGGAAGGCTCCTTACAGAGGTTTTATATCCCATCATGGCCTGAACTAGACTGAGAGGATTTCAAAAAGAGACTTGAACTCTTCCGACTTTTTAACAGGCCCCTGTGAACAGGTATTTTTAGGACTCAAACTATCACAATGGACAGAGTATAGATTTTAGATTATTCTTCTAGAACAATGGCTAGAAGAATCTTTCCTTTTTTCTGTTCTAACCTAGGAGTGACAAGCACCACAAGTTGAATTCCCTAGATCCAAATATTTTCCTTTGGGTTTTTTCCCTCATTTGAATGCCGCACTATTTAAAACAGACTGCTCATTCCCTGTTCCTTTGTTGTCCCTGTCACATGCTCACAGCACCCTCCCCTGTCCAGTCTCTGTGCTGTGGGAGAAGCACAGGGCTCAACCCCGCAGCAGTACCCGGATGGAACCTCAGGAGCCTGGTGTGCTGGTCGGGTCTTTTACCCCTCTCCCCCCACCCTCCCCTCCTGGCCCCCGCTGTGCTTCTGCCACGGTGCATGCTGTAACAGTGGAACAACCCACAGCAGCTTCTAGGCCCTGCATCTTGAAAGAGGCCTGGTTCCAAGCAGTCTTACATTTCGTGGTTTTTCTGGTAGTAAGTGGCCAAAGGTATATTTTGGGGGTATCCCCCTACAGCAGTTTGTCAGCCACGGTTTTAAAAGGATAAGGATGAGGGGGGGTTTTGCATGTGAGTTTGGTTTTCTTCCCAAGACAAGAGAAGGGAGAGCTGGGCAGTGATTGAAGTGACCCTTTGTGAGTGCCCTGTCAGCCGCCTCCACAGCGCTAAACATAGCCGGGGAGGGATCCACACAGCAAGAAGTACTGTAAAGACTTTGAGCCATTTACGTGTATGTTCTCAGCTGCCTTTCTGCCTCTGTCGATTTTAGGGTATGGATATTAGGAGCCATAACTTGTAGTCTTGTTCTCTGAACGTAGAGATAAGCTGCTATAAGCCAGTAGATGTTAAACAGAAGACACGTTATTCACCTGCGATGAGTCGGGCTCGAGGAACCTCTTCACTCCAGTGGTGTCTCTTTAGCAAAATGCTAGACATGTCTTTGTATCGAGGAACCTAAAATTTCTCGACAGTTGTATTTTGAACACTGTTACCCCAAAAGTGCTGTATCTTCAAGTCCTCTTTTGTGACAAGTGAACCAAGACTTGTTCTAGATAGACTCCTGTTTTGCAAAAGGCTTACTTTGAGCTTCTGGCCTATATTTTGATGACTCACCTTAATTGTTTTCGCTCTTAACTAACAACTGCTTCACCAGTAACAGGGTCAGACCTATCATCAGCACCCCAGCTTGCTCAGCTCCAAGGTATGATGGACTCCAGGCTGGACTATACCAGCCAGTTCGAGAGCTTACCTTTCCTTTTTAAGGCAAAGCCATCAGTGGAGTTTGAACAGCCTGAAAGAGTGGTCTGTTCAAATGTCAAAGCAAACCCTTTTGTAAAGTGAGGGGTCAAAATCAGTGATGGGACAAAATAAGTTGGTATTTTCATTAATCATAATTGCTTTAAATGAAGCCATTTGGTCCTGAATAATTTAAATATTGAGCTACCGTAGCAAGTAATAAATTAATTGAGTCCAGGAATTCCTAGTTTTAATGGAATCTATAGCTTTATTTAAAAACAAACAAATCACTGCTGGGCTTCATTTTTCCACATGATCCTCTAAAAATGGATGCTTACTCTGATTGCCCTATCTCATGGCACCTGGCCCAGGCGGGAATGACCAAGGAATTCATTTGACTCCTTGATGCACCGGTCCTCAGACTTATTTTCTGGGTCTTTTATGGCCAGGTTGCTTATATGAATAATGTTTTGGTTCAGTGGTAGGTTTTTATTTTTAAATTCTGGTACTAATGGGATTCCTGACCTTAATTTCTGAAAACCAAAAACTCCCCAGAGTTGTTCATTTTTTAAATTTTTATCATTAAAATAAAAAGCACTTTCAGACAGCTGCACCTTCCATTTGTACTAAGAAAGGAAAGTGATAAAAGGATTGAAAACATTCCTGGCAAATATTTCAGTCCAAAAATTCTACAGATCTGTTTGGGGGCTGGTAGATATGTCCCCCAAGAGGACGCTAGGGAGCTTTTATTTTAAATTGAATTTTACCCTTGACCACCCAAGCCTTTCCTCCTGAATGTTCTTTCCCATGAATTTGTTTACTTTTGTGTCAAATGGATGAGCCATTGTCATGCTCAGCCAGTGCCACTATTTCCCTTTCGCATTTCTCTTTATGATGTAGGTAATCACACAGACCCAATTTTGGTTTTAAGTTACCTTCCTAGTCTTCAAATATCTTTAAACTGACAACACTGATGTTTTTAAAGGTAGGTTTTTCTGGTTGATACAGACTATGCATCATGTTTAGCAGATGGGATAAAAACTGGCCTAAGACAAGTCTTTGTAGAAAACATGCCCATTGAAAAAATACTTTTTTATTGCCCAGACGTCCGTGGTACGATTGGTCTAACATAGAGCTCGTCAGCTCCTCATAAGCCATTTCAGTGAGCAAGACTGCCCTGACTTCCAGTAGGCCCCTGGGCTGGCTGCCATCACTGACTGACCATGAAAATTTGATTGTAGTTTTCAAATAATAGGTTGATTTCCTCCTCATTCAGTACATAAATGTTTTCCTGATATAAAAAGAAATGGGATCTGATTGTGTTTTAAGTGATTTGCTTTGTTTGGGAAAAGGATTAGAAGCGAACACTCAGACCTTTTTTTTAAGTAAAATTCTTTAAAAGCTGATGCGAAACATCTTCACAGATGAAATGTTGCTCACGTCCAAATACCTGACGTTGTCCTTGAAAACAAACACAGCGAGGCAGCTGCTGAATCTGTCTGCTCAGTTTGTCAAGGAGGATAATTATGCTTTTGAGACAGATCTGAAAAGAAGGTGAATATTTTGCACTTTTGATACTCTTAGGAACAAATAACTTATTTGGCAAATGGTGTCTTTTTTATGTTGTTTTTGTTTTGTATCGTGAACAGGCACTGAAGCTGATGTTATTTTTGTTTTAAGAATATTACAGACTGGAAACAGAAATAAACTATTTTAATGTGTGATGATTATGGGTAGCTCTTGCATTATGAGATGATGATTTGATCATGGACACATCAACAAAATTTAATTTGCATGTAACTCAACACATGCTCACGATCACGCCTTAACTGCAGATTTCGGGAATTGTCCTAGAGGCTGCGTCGGCTTGAAGAGGAGAGAACGTGGACCTGAGGCTGGCGGGGAGCGGGTTAAGGAAGTGTCATTGGCTCTTTGGAGGCCAGCTGATAGCGTCTGGTTAGAAGACACTTCCTGGGCTTTTGAGTGGGAAGTTTATTTATTAGGATCTGTGTGTTATTTTCTTTCAAACTTTTTGTTTATGTTTGTGAAGACACATCAAGATGCAGCCCTCAGCTCCTCAGAAGAGCAGTTACATTTCAAAGGAAGATGCTAGACAAATACGGAACGTTTATGCAGTATTATTTCCTAGGGTTTTTTTTTCATTTCATCCCACTCATTTTTAGATAATCTTGAACTAAATTCTCCATCCTTTATTTTTTCCCCTTTATCCTTTGCCGTCTTTCATTAAAGGAAAAAATCAAAGCAGCACAAGTACCACTTGTTTTTGTTTTTTTAAGTTAATCCAAACTCACTTAGAAAAGAGCTGTTTGGATTCGCGTTCTACCGAATGCCCTGATTTTACTCCACCAGTGACACTTTTAGCAGAAAGTTTTCTTGGCATCAACTCTTTAGTAGTCAGACTGCTTGCTCATAAATTCTTCCTGAGGATTTGTCATCGACGCACTCTGTTGTTTTATCTTGAAGAACACGAGATTCAGACAGTTGTCACTTTGGGGAGCACACACAGCATCTCAAACAGCAGGTTAGCCGCCAGGAGGGCCGTGTTTCCTACGAGGAAGTAAAACCCGATGTGAACAGAGCCTCTCAGGACCCCTCAGCCTTCTTGCCTTTGAGCCTCCTTTTCCAGGGTCCCTCCTTCCGCACTCTTCTCTGGGCCGCCCAGCCACCCCGTAGACATGCTCCTGGCATTCTGCTCCATCATCACTTGGAAATAGTACATTAAAATTCAGAAGGTTCTTTACTTTGAGAACAGATTTCCCCCAAAGGAAAACCTATATAATAATGGTATGTATTGTAGCCTCTGAGACTAATACACCTAACTCTAAGCTTTTCTAACTTAAAATTATTGGGATGGCATCTGCTTTGACTCTCTCTCCTAAACCAGCCAACTCCTCACTTTATTAATGTTAATATTTATCCTTTGAGAATTCACTTTTCAATGAAATATCAAAGGAGGATGGCACTGTGCCACCCTGTCACTAAACTGCAGGCCGGTTTCTTTCTCTTTCGCTGACTGCTGGACAAGCTAATGATACTTAGCTACCTCCCAGGGGTTTTGTTAGGGTTAATGAGCTCGTGTTTGTAAGGTGTGCAATAACAGGTTTATTTTCTTCACTGTAGGACATACCCAGCAGGTTCCCAAGTTATACAAAAGGACCCATCCATCTTCTACTTATTAACTAGATTCATATAATTTAAACTAGCAGCTGCCTATGGATCACAGTTTTCTCGCGTACTCACCGAAAGGATCGTATGGCGGTGAAACTTCCACAAGATCACAACCCACCACGTTCAGGCCTTGACAACCCCGGATGATCTCCAGAGCCTGCCCAAGGTCAAGCCACAGCGGTAAGCATTTACAAGGAAAAGCAGCCATAGAGGCCTCAGTGGATTTGTCCCAACGTATGCCCACCTTTTGACTTGGAACTGTTGCTTTCTCTCAGTAAACAGTTATTGACTGCCAGGCACACTGGTGGGCATCACAGAGACACAAATGACCAACACGGTCCCTGCTCCCGAGGAGGGCTCCAAAGTGTGATGATGGAGACGAGCCAACCAGTCATTTCAATGTCATGCATTCAGGGCTTCAAGAAAAGCAAGCATAGAAGAATAGAAGCACACATATCAGCCCAAAGAGGTGGAGGAAGGCTTCTCCAAAGTGGAAACACAAGAAACTGACCAAGCAGATGCCTAGGGGAAGGGTGGCCCTGACAGAGCAAAAGATACATGCAGAGGCGCCACGATGGAAGAAGTACCAGCAGTTAGAGGTGGCTGGAAGACAGGGTAGGTGAGGGGAGTGGTGGAAGAGAGTCACTTTGTCTGAAAGGGTTTCCATTCTGCAGGTGAAAAGCCCGGAAGGATGAAAAGCTGAGGGATAATGATTGTGTTTTAGAAAATTTTCTGATGGGAACTGAGGGTGGCTCTGAAGAGGTAGTTATGACCATCCTCGTTTCTTAGAGGATATGAGACAATTGATTAAGTTTAAGCAGTCTGCATTCATGTACTCACAAATATCTTCGAGAACCTACTATTTGTATGTCAGGCATATTCTAGGCTCCAAGGATACAGTAGTGACCAAAACAAAGGCTGCCCTCCTGCAGCTTCCCTTCTAGTGACAATCACACTCCAGCTCTGCCTCCCTGCGTTTACGCTCAGCAGACCTTAGGGAGCCTTATTAGGGTGTTGCTAAAACTCTTGAACTACCTTGGTAGGTGGTTAATCCCATTGTGCGCACTTTTAAAAGATGTTTAGTTTTCTTAAGGGGGTACTACAATATTGTCCCCATGAACCGACTACAGGTGGACCAGAGGCAGAAAGACCAAATAAAAGACTACTGTATTCCAGGTAAGCAATGAGGGCCCTTGGCAAAACCAGTCATTCTTCAATAAGTGAGTATTCAAACCTACACTCAGCCCTAACAAGAGTAAAGGCCCAGGTGCTCTGCTTTTAAAATCGTCTCCTGATTCCTGCAGACTCACTACAAGTCCCGGGAAAGTGGGGAGTTAAGTATCCTCACCCCCAGGAGTTGTCACTGGTGGAGCCTCCTTACCTGACTGGGGGTGAGACCAGCAATTTCGGGGGTCCCTGTCCCCGGGGCATAGGCGGGATCCAAGCCATCGATATCAAAGCTGATATACATGGGTTTGCCTCCCATCTGCTGCCTCACTTCCCCCATCAGAGGAACGAGCGACTTCATCCAGCAGTCTTCAGCCAGGACCACCCGGAAGCCCTGAGGAGGTAGGAATGAAGAGCGGGAGGTCGATGCTTCTGCATGGCAGCATTTACTGGGCATTTCCCATGTGCCTACCCCATGCTAAGCTCCTACGTGCACATCACATTTGACCCTCAATCCCCAGGAGGAGGGAACATCATCCCCATGTTACAGGTGAGGAAGGGAGGGAGGATGACAAGTAAAGAAACAGCGAGTAAGTCAAAGCTGACCTATGGAGACGGGATCAGAGAGAAGCTTGGCTAAAGCAAGAGACACTCAGGACAGCTCCTGCCAGCACCCCCTGGACAGCTCTGTCCAGAAGACTGGCCTCTGCACGCTGTAAAAGCAGGGCACTTGGGTCTTTGCTGTTGGGGTCTTGTTGTGTGTGATCACCTGGGGGCCACTCTGCCTAGTGAGTATGAGCTTGAGAACTAAGGCGGCGGCCGCTCGCCTTGGGCTTGGACCTCCTCAGCTCTTTTCCAAGCCAACAACATTGAGGGCTTGGTTTGTTTCTGCTTGTCTCCCCAGCCCAGCGATAAGAGGCCTCCTCTGCCTCGTGAACTAACATCCTCCCACCTCTCTGCTCCACAGGACTCTCTTGATGCAAATTCAGCCTTTCATCTCCACTTTCTGAACTCGATTAGCAAAGCCCCTATTGAATCCGTGGCCGCCATTGAGTGAGCAACGGAGAGGAAGGTCTTTGGGGGCTAGGGACAGAGGGAGGGCATTCAGTCTGTCACCTGGCTCCGGCTGTATCTGTAGGGATCCAAGGTCATGGAAGAGCCCCGGATGCCGATCTGCACCACGCGCTTACAGTCCAGGAGTCCCTCGTCCACGCACCGGCGGAAGGGTGTCCCGTGATAAAGCTTCTCTCCTAGGGCCTTGTCGGCCGTGTCCATGTGAGCGTCCACATGGAGCAGCCCCACAGGGCCATGCCTGATGACAACAGGGCAGTCAGAGGCCAGGCTCCCTGGGGCCTGAGAACAGCCACCCTCCAAGCCACCAACACTTGATGACAATTCATAGCCACGGAGGGGCTTGCAACTGGTTTCTGTCTTCAAACCACTTAGCATCTCAGAAGAATAATAAACTCAGAAAAGTCAGGCAGAAAATAGACGTGCTTTAGCTGCCATTCACTACCTGTCACCCAGAATTTTCTTCACTTAGAGATGGAAAAGGCTGGGAGGATGAGAATAAAGGGTGGTGGCTCAGGGGAGCTCCACTGAACACTGAACTAATCAGAGCCACCATTTCTCCAACTGTGGCACGAAGAAGCAGCTTCAACCCAGCTCTCTCTCCATATCTCCATCAACCCTGCCAGCCACCCAAAATAAACACACAATACAATTCAGTGCTAGGCAAACACAGCTTCGAGAAAAGACTTGTACCCACCCACCCCGAAGGAGAATACTACCCACATGTGCTTTCCATATAAGGATTCAGGAGCTGCGTAGGCCCTCCTCTCTCTTTCTCAAACTAATTAACCAAAGTCAGTCAACCCATGGTAGACTTCCACTCCTGGAAAATCCATCTTCTCATTTTCTGGGAAAGGGGCCCTTTTGGGAAAAAACAGGGCCTCTGCTCAGCAAACACCACCACTGTGCCTGTCAGTATTTGCATTTGGCCTTCGAAGCAAAACAGAAACTGAAGTTAACTGGGGTTGTGTATTTCACTAGGGCTCATCTTCCAAAAACAGAAGCAAATGCTGAGCACGCACAGGAGAGCAGATCTAAGGCAAGAGGGGTGGCCAGAAGTGTTAATAATAAATTGTCTTGGCTTCCAGCTGGTGACTGACAGAAACACCTGGAGCTCGACCTTTATTTTGATCCACGGAAGCAACTCAGTTGGGAATTGCCAATCAGCCCCAATAACCTGAGCCAGCGAGGTCACCTGGTGCCGTCTAGCAGCAAACAACGCATTCCCTCGCTCCTGAATTTTGAAACCTCGCTTGGGGCCAGCCACTTGGGACTTACTTTTTTGCCATCGCTTGCAATATAGGATATGTGATTGTGTGATCTCCACCTGCAAAGAGGAAAAAGAAGAAAACATCTGGAATGTGGATAAGATTAGAGGACCATGTATCACATAGAACAGTCTTCAATTTGCCCAATTCTGCCACCCTTTCGATTAGGCTGAAGAACTATAACCACAGCTAAAATAAGATCTTGTTCAGTAGTGGGAAAATGGCCACTAGATGTTTGAGATGATTACACTGTCATTTAAAAGAGGGAATTAGGGCCGGCCCTGTGGCTTGGTGGTTAAGTGCGCGCGCTCCGATGCTGGCGGCCCGGGTTCGGATCCCGGGCGCGCACCGAGGCACCACTTCTCCGTCCATCCTGAGGCTGAGTCCCACATACAGCAACTAGAAGGATGTGCAGCTATGACATACGACTATCTACTGGGGCTTTGGGGGAAAAATTAAATAAATAAAATCTTAAAAGAGGGAATTAAACAAATTAAGGCTTACAGGTAAAAATGCCCAGAACAGCTCTGTCCAACAGAACTTTCTGCAATGATGGACATGTTCTATATCTGCACTGGCCAACATGGTGGCCATTGAAATGTGGCTCATGCAACTAAAGAACTGAATTTTTTATTTTATTTTAATTAATTTTCATTTAAATAGCCACATGTGGCTAGTGGCTACTGGACAGCACAGGCCTAGAAAAGTATTACTATTGATAATTATTAACAGCAACAATAACTAACATTTATCAAAGCTTAAAATATGCCAGGTACCATGGTGGGCACTTTATATGCACTTTTGTTATATGCCCCTCACAGGACATAATGAGGTAGGTGGTGGTATTATTGTTCCCATTTTACAGATGAAACAATGAAGCATAAATAGCTAGTGAGAGGTGGAGCTGAGATTTCAAACCATGCCATCCAGCAACCACACTCCTCACCACTGAGCTCTGCAGGCTAGGCCCTCTGATTTGGCAAAAAATAAATTTGGATGTTTAGAAAAAGGTGCATGTCATTTTAACTATTTGTGAACCACGAGAGAAAGAAATACTACAGTCAGGGCCGGCCCCGTGGCTTAGCGGTTAAGTGCGAGCGCTCCGCTACTGGCGCCCCGGGTTCGGATCCCGGGCACACACCGACACACCGCTTCTCCGGCCATGCTGAGGCCACGTCCCACATACAGCAACTACAAGGATGTGCGGCTATGACGTACAACTATCTACTGGGGCTTTGGGGGATAAATAAATAAATAAATAAATAAAATTATTTAAAAAAAAAGAAATGCTACAGTCAGAGAGGGGCAGGGTGGGGGGGATAGGGGAAAGCTGCCCTACAGATTGATATAGACCCTGACGAGCAGGAAAAGACCCCTGTGCAGTCCTCTTCTCAAATAAAGTCATTAAAACAATGTCCTTGAAATAGTTTAAAAGCCACAATTGAGCCCCCGTTGGCAGCCTTCCCCAGGCGTGGAATCAAGGGCTAGGACAAAGGTGAGGTAGGTAGAGGCACTTGTCAGGATGCAAAATTTAAGGGATGCTAAAAAAACTCAATAATCAAGATAAATACTATTTTAATGTAATATTTATCAAAATCAATGCAAAAAAAAATCCATGATAAATTTTAAAGAAAGATAGCTCAGGGCCGGCTCCGTGGCTTGGCGGTTGAGTGCGCGCGCTCTGATGCTGGCGGCCCGGGTTCGGGTCCCGGGAGCGCCCCGAGGCACCACTTCTCCGTCCAACGCGAGGCCGAGTCCCACGTACAGCAACTAGAGGGATGTGAACCTATGACATACAACTGTCTACTGGGGCTTTGGGGGGAAAAAACTGAATAAATAAAATCTTTAAAAAAAAAAAAAAAAAAAAAAAAGAAAGATAGCTCAGTAACTGCATTGTTCTGAGCCATATTGAGCCTGAGGCAAAAGGGGAAAATCAGTAACACTTATTGTTCATTTCTTTGGCGCCCCTTAAATTTTGCACTGAGATAAATGCCTCACGTGCCTCACCCTAGTCCATCCCTGTCAGTCATACTAGTCCAAAAATTTAAATATCCTCTCCCCAGGGGTTAAAATACATGAATTAGCAATGTTCTCTTTCCTACTGGCTGCATATTCGCAGTGGCTTGCCCTGGAGAAGGAGCCGTACTCAAGTCCATGATAAATAAACTCAGCACAGAGAACTGCACTCATCCTTGCACATGCCATTACCCAAGGTCAGAGGAATACAGCCAGCTGCTATAATTTTCTGATAGGCCTCTTGAATTAGGCGGCAGCTGTCCTGAAGGTTGTAGAGATTGACATTCACATCTCCTAGGTCTGCAACCATGAGGGACTGGAAGGGGAGGGCCCCCGTGCTGGGGTTGGCTATCCGGAGCAGCACTGACTCCTCCCGGATCCGGCGGGGTCCAAATCTGGAGGAGGAAGAATCATCCTGTGAGCCAACCACAGAGGTTTAGAGGGCCTTCCTAGACTGGGGCTTCTCAGCCTCTGCACTGTTGACATTTGGGGCTGGATGATTCTTTGTTGTGGGGGCTGTTCTGTGCATTGCAGGATGTTTAGCAGCATCCCAGGTCTGTACTCACTAGATGCCAGTAGCACCCCTCCCCCAAGTCGTGATAACTAAAAATGCCTCCAGACACTGCTAAATATCCCCTGGGGGCAAAATCCACCCCGCCACCCCACCTTGAGAACCACTAATCCAGACTATATATTGAAGAGATCAAAGGCACAGACTTAGGAGCCCATCTATCACCAATTTACTAAACGGCATTAGATAATTTCTTAATCTCCCTGAACCTCAGTTTCCTAATCTGTAAAATAATAATAATGATATTTACCTTAGCCTGTTGTTGTAAGAACCAATGAGGTCATCTATGCAAAGTGCCTTGCACTTAGTAGACATTTAATAAATGGTGACATTTATAATTCAGACCGTAGTCAGATGTAATGCTGCGAAACTGAATCAAAATAGCTGATGCTCAATAATTAGGAAAATGGATTTTACTTCCTCTGACTTGATCTCAGGAAAATTGCCTTAATTTGAGCAATTCTTGAGGCAGGTGACATCTAGAGGTTTTGAGAAGGGGCAGCCAGCTCCTCTGTTCTCAAAGGTAATGTCCTCTGACACTGTAAGCTGGGGGGTTACTGACAGCCCCGTCCCAGCAAGGCCCAGGGATGGGGCGTGGTGAAGGCTGGGTCCCCTAACCCCCTTTCTTTACCAAGGGATGACACGTGTGTTGAGCTTTCGGGGTTGCCTGATGAGGGACCAGGGAAATCAACTGTCTCTCAAACTGTTAGGGGCACTTTGGAGCCAGGCACCAGCTTCCAAACTGACCCTTGGTGAAGCGAGATGCCGATCCCCGTGTTTTGTGTGCGCAGTGGCCGCCAGGCTGTGCGCACACGTGTCTCCCAGTGCTGCGGGCCTTACCTCGCCCCGGGCCGGTTGGAGGTCCCAATGTCCAGGGGCACCCCGACGAAGGCGGCGTCCAGCCCCTCGGGGGAAGCCTGCACGGGCAGCCGCATCATGGAGCAGACGCCCACCGGCCGGGCCACGACGTCACCGCTGGGGGGCTGGTTCCGGGGGCCGTCAGAGGCCTGGTGGCTGGGGCTGCGGCCAGGGTCGCAGAGTCCCGCGGCAGGACGCGCGCCGCGCCCCAAGCGGCTGGAGCGCAGCCCCCGCGCGCCCCCGCCAGCCCCCAGGCCCCGGGCGCAGCCGGACGCCAGCAGCAGCAGCATGCCGCCCGCCCGCCCTTCTGCAACACGTGTGCCAGCGCCCGAGCCGCCGGGGCTCAAAGGGCGGGGGCCTCCTGGGGATCAAGGGCGGGGGAGGGGCCCCAGCTAACGGGCCGCTCTGTCCCCACAGCCCTTTCTGGACTTCGTCCTCTGCCTCATTTTGGTAAATAGAGCCGGGCCAGGGCTCCCCACTCACGCCCACCTGCACCGTCCCGGTGGGTCTGCACCGTCCCGGTGGGTCTGCGCCCCCAAAACCAGGCCCTTGGCAGCTGCTTCTCCCATTCAGAGTAATATTTTAAAAGCCAAAAGATTTGAAGAGAAAAGCCCTTTCTCTAAGCGAGGGAAATTGGAAATGCATTTTAAAAAAATAATGTATTAAGAAATGTCTGGGTAGAATTCTCAGGAGGCAGAGTCTTTCTTTTTTGTGTGTGTGAGGAAGATTAGCCCTGAGCTAACATCTGTTGCCAATCCTCCTCTTTTTTGCTGAGGAATCTTGGCCCTGAGCTAACATTCATGCCCATCTTCCTCTACTTTATATGGGACGCCACCACAGCATGGCTTGACAAGCCGTCGCCCGTCAGCGCTCAGGATCTGAACCTGCGAACCCCGTGCCACCAAAACAGAGCGCAGGAACTTAACCGCTAGGCCACCAGGCTGCCGGAGAGTCAGTTTCTAATTTATTAAAAGACTTGGAGGAGAGCCCACTAGTCTGTAGTTCTTTTTATTTCTAAGGGGGAAAAAAAAAAACACAGGGAAAAAAAGAAGTGATTTGTAATGAAGTTCTGTGAGCCACTTGGTGGTATTATGTATTTTTTAATCTCTAGAAGTTGAGATTGCCTGGAAAAGGCCTGAGTTTGCATTAAATCGTAACCTTTACAGGAAAGTCGCACATTCACCCCCACACCTGCCCTGCCTCCACTCTGCAGGCCAGGGGCAAAGTTCCCTAGTGGTCAGTCCAGGTATTCAGTGTTGGAAGAGGCTGCAAAGTAAGTCCCCGCCATTTCCTGGAACAAATGCAACCACCGCTTAGTTATTCTCTTAATACCCCACTACCGAGAGTCCACCAATACTTCTTTCATATTGCTTGTCCTGAATGTATCATTTTCTTACTCCTGGTTTTTCTTTCCTTCTTCTCACAAATATTTGAGTACATACTATGTGCCAGGCACTATGTGACAGTGACTCCAACCTCTCTCCATCTTTCGCTACTGCTGAACACTCCTTTCCTTTAAACTTTCCTGGGGGGGCCTCTTTGACCATGTGCGCCCCTGCTCTCCTTCCGCCTCTCTGACGGAGGTATCTCTTTCCATATCAAGGCTGCAGTTTTCACCTACAGGCGGTAATTCACAATGTCAAATCCCAGCCCTGGGCTCCAGTCGCCCAATTGCTAACTCCCCACCCGGATGTTCTGACAGCACCTCAGGTGGGCTGCCAGTTCAGCCAGTGACTTTCCACCTCCCTCTCTTGAACCTGCTCTCTGCCCCATCCTTTGGTTAAGTCCTGATGGTTTCCTGCATGCCAGCCCTCCCCCGCTTTCCTCTGCTGCTACTCTCGTTCCGGCCTTCCCTCCTGTGGCTTTCCAGTTAGTCTCATCACTGCTCGTATCACCTAGACTTTCCTGCCAGATGAGGCTTCCGAAGCCAAGCCACCTTGCTACTCGTATTTCCCATTATGCGTCTTCCCATACTTGCCCCTCCAGCTGTTGTTCACATTACACAGCCCACTCTCTTGTCTCCTTTCCTTTGCCCAGGCCATATCCTCTGCCTGGAATGCTCTCTCCCCAGCTCCCAGCTCCACATGGCCAATGTTCAGCTGAAGCAAACACTCAAACTACTGTCTCTGAAACACTCTTAAAACCTTAACAATTTTCTGCCTAGGACAAGTACAGGATCTGGAATCAGAAAAAAGTTAAATCCTGGCTCCACCATCAATGTATCTCAACCATTGATGGCAGAAGAGAGACCTCATCCCCATTCCCCACGGGTCTGGGGACATAGCTCAAAGTAGCCCTCCATTAAGCACAACATTTCTTTGAAGTTTCATGTTTGTTCTTGCAATTTGTGCAGTTTTCATTCGATTTCATAACACGTTTATTTTAGCATAAAATATTTTATATTAATCAGCTAAATTTTCCCAAAAAACTTTCAAGTAAAGCTGTCACTCCAATCACGCATCGTCTAACCCAGGCCATCCCTGTGTACGTCCCTGAGGCACCGCAGTCAGGGAAGTGTGGACTTAACATGTCAACCCGAGCAACTCACCCTTCTGAACCTATTTCCTACTCTGTAAAATGGGATGATAACCCTTGCTGGTAGTTCTTATGAGGATTAGATGAGGTCCACTGTGAAAGCATCGTAAACCATATATTTATTTATTTATTTATTTTTGTGTGTGTGAGGAAGATCAGCCCTGAGCTAACATCCATGCTAATTCTCCTCATTTTGCTGAGGAAGACTGGCTCTGAGCTAACATCTATTGCCAATCCTCCTCCTTTTTTTGTTTTTTTCCCTACAAAGCCCCAGTAAATAGTTGTATGTCATAGCTGCACAGCCTTCTAGTTGCTGTATGTGGGACATGGCCTCAGCATGGCCGGAGAAGCAGTGCGTCAGTGCGCGACCGGGATCCAAACCCGGGCCACCAGTCGCAGAGCACGCGCACTTAACCACTAAGCCACGGGGCCGGCCCCATAAACCATATATTGATCAATAATAGGTAGTGTTATCATTGTATGTTTTATTTCCTCTACTGCAGAGTTTCCTAACCAGTGGCCATTGCACACTGGTGTATCGCAATTGGGTTACAGGTGGACACAACATAAAGATCCCACGGCCCTTGTGGCCGCCAGCTAGGCCAGTCACCTCTGGGCGCATGCAGCCCATGGGGAGCTCCTCGGAGGACAACTGACGCAGAGCAGAGTCTGACATCCTGCCCTGTGATCCCAAGTAGGCAGCAGGATCAGCGGCATTTGCTGCTTGCCATGTGTCACCCCCTGGGCGTCCACCTCAGAGTCCAGTGCATGGTGCACTGCTGCACATCACAGACAAGGGCCAGGGTCCTGCTAGACGAGTTGGGTTCCAGGGGTCCACGGAGAATGAGCATTGACCCATGACGCAGCTGGTGAGGGGTGGAGGAGCCAGGAGACTGGTTGGCAGAGTCTGGCCAGAGCAGCTACAGAAGGCTGACCCAAATCTGTCTTCACATAGTATCAGATATTTCTGTCCATTTTTGGCTGATGCCCAAGCAGTGTCCAAGCTAATTTCAGGGTGACTGCTTTAACAATGCTTATGGGCAGGGTGATATTAAAAACATTTAACATCTGAGTTGGCGCAGACATCGACCAATCAGAACAGATGCCAGCTAGCCATAAGCAGTGAATACCAGTCCATACCAAATGGATATCAACCCTGAAGGAACGTGCTTTAAATCAGAGCTCTGTCATTATTTTAAATGCTTGACATGAAAGACTTTAATTGAATTCAAAATCCATTAATGTTATCACAAGAAATTTCAATTGTACAATTGTTAATGAAAGAAAATAAGACCTTTCTTCAAATATTTTAACTTTTGTAAAATTTTTAATGTTAAAATGTCTTTTTAAATTTTTATTACTCACTTGAGTTTCTAAGTGCTCATGGCGATCAAGAACTTAAAGAGATCCTTCTTGAAAAGTCCTGGTCATTATTGCAGATAGCCATTTCAAGCATAAAACCTGATATTAAAAAGCTACATTCACTGAAGAAAACTAAAATTTTGAAAATACTCTATTTGGAAATTTTATATAAGCTCAATACTTAATGCTGTCTCTAATACTTTCATTTTATTTTTCAAATCATAATTATATAATATGTAGAAAATGTAATTAATTCTTTTACCAAATCCCATGCAGATGCCCCTAAAACCACACCCTCACCCCCTAGTTTACCTCAGTAGGACATACAAATTGTATAATTTTCTATGTGTGCCATGATAGGAAAAACGTTCCAAAGCACTGTTCTAATAAGTTCCAATATCTGCTTCGTCTTTTTGGCTGGCCTCTAAGGGCAGTGCCTTATAAAGAACAAGTAATATAATAAATGTTTGGTGAGCAAGTCAGTGTGTGAACAGATCTGGAAGCTGTGGAGAGCAGCTCTGGGGTGATTACTGTTTCAGCCAAAAAACTGTGACAGCCAAAGAGAGAGAAGTAAACACCGTGTACGTGTCAGCTGTCCGCGTGGATTCCCTTTGGCCTAGTGAATGATGCAAGGGTTCCTCAGAAGGAGTCAACACTTTGAACTTGTCTGTGCTTGTGGAGGCTCAGAAACGATCCTGCAGCAACTCCAGCCTCCCCGAGACGCCTGGCTGGGGGCTTTCTGTGACACTCCACTCACCTTGTTACATCATCAATGCTCATCTTTACCTTCCTTGTCCCCTAGCCCTAAAGAAAAATACAGATATTTTTGAGATGTTCAGAATACTTTTATCAAAGTTTGTCAAAATCTCCCCTCTTCTATTTATTTTCCCTAAAACGTTACACACTCAACAATGCCTCAGAGAATACTTTACACACTCGCATGGAGTTGCCTCCAATAATAGCTTCATTTTTTAATATAGAAAATAATAATATGTACTATTGGAACACAAAAGATTGGTTGTTCAGTCTCTCTATTCAGCTTGTCGAATGGATATCTGAAGCCTGAATAATCTGACCACTTTTATCCAGATGCCAAGTAATTGGCCCTCTCTGTCTCTCTTTAACCCAAAAGAGCCTCCTAAGGCAAGAGAAAGGGAGGGGAGAGCATGAATTTATCTAATGAAAGTCCCAACCAGTGAAGTTGGGAGTATCACTGTTATGCAGTTTCCAAGTCAAGCCAGGAGAGGGCACAGAAAACTTGTGCTTGATCATCTACCAAAGAAAAGGAGAATTCAGGAAATGGACAGAGCTCTCCTCCAATCACTCAATCAGGTGACACACAATTTGGGTCGGTTAGTCAGTCTGATTTCATCCTGAGCCTGTACCAATTTTATTACACAATAGGCT